AGGGGGAGTGGGGAGTCCTGGAGGGAACCCAGTTACAGCATTAGGAGAGAGCAGACACGTCGGAGGCCTCTACAAAAGATTGTTGGCACTGGCTTCACCTTCAGAGTGCTTGACGGGAGGCTGGTCATACCACTGAGCCCTTACTGTGATGTCTCCCAGGTCTCAGCTCCCCGTCCCGGCCATAGTCCCAAAAGAGCTGAAGCTCTGGGGTCAGATAGACCTTGGTCCTTACCTTGAGCAAGTCACTTTACCTCTCTGTGCCTCAGTTTCCTCATCTGTAAAGTGGGATTAATAGCAATGGTGTCATGAGGAAGCAATTGTGCCTTCATACCATTTCCTGGCACATCATGGGTCCTAATAAACACGAACTGTCGTTCTGCCTGGCTGACCGTGATGCGGGTGTCAGCGCTGAGTGACAGGCACATGGGGCCTCTACCCTCTGGGAACTTTTGAGTATTTTAGAAATCATTATAATAAAACTTATTTCGTAAGACTCCTGCTCCTAATTTTCTGCAGTTTCTGCTATGAGGCTCCTTTGGGAAGTGCTCTTATTCGTTAGAATTCACAGTGTCAGGAGACCAAAGCATTTCTCCAAATTCCCCGCTTCCCCTGCCTGTTCATCCCCTCAGCAGTCAGGGGCCCTGTCCAGCACCAGCCCCTCCTGATCCTATGAGGGTGCCTATGCCAACAGCAGAGCTTCAAAATTAGCTGTAAAAGGAAACACTGAAACTTCACTTTAATTTATTTTTAATCTAAAAAAACAGAGAAAGTCAAGCATTACTAATACTTGAAATATGGATTGAAACTGTGCACTCCAAGAGTTGGAGCGCACAGCCTTAACTGACTCATGAAAGAACATATTTTCCTGCCTAAGATTCTGGGGGAACGGCAAGTTGAAGGGAAACACATGGATTAACTCTTGTTCCATTTTATTCCCATGAGAGGAGACCTGTCCCGAACTGTGGTTAGCCCGCTGGAATATAGATACTGACTTGAATGTGCAGATCCTCTGATGAATATAAATACAAAAAAGATAGAACTTTTTAAGGTATGGATTGACAGGGTACATAAGTTATTCATCATGCAAAGACATCTATTGGGTGTGAGTGCTCAAAAGTGTTTGTCCAGCCCTGGCCAGTTTGGCTCAGCGGTTAGAGCATCGGCCCACAGACCAGAGAGTCCCGGGTTCTGTTCCCGCTAAGGGCATGTACTTCGGTTGCAGTTTGTCCCCAGCCCCTGATGGGGTTGTGTGGGTAACAACCAGTCAATGTGTCTCTTTCACATCGATGTTTGTCTCTCTCCCTCCTGCTCTATTCTGAAGATAAAAAATGTCCTCGGGTGAGGATAAAAAAAAATGTTTGTTCAATAAAATCCGTGAACTCTGGAGCAACCAGTCTCCACAACACACATTGTGGTCCCTCCAAGATGTCATCGTGCTTGAGGCCGAGGGAGACCTGGATGCTTGGTCTTGGGAGCCCAGAAAGCCCTCCGCTTCCACAGGTGAGAGGACAATGTAGCAGAAGGCCTGACTCCGGTCTGAATTTCCAGGGCCAGGCACTCGGGAGGTCCTGCAAATAATGTCACGTAGAAGCAGCCCCTGAGAATGAAGGAAGGTCCCTCTTGCCAATCAGGGGCAGCTAAACCCTCTGCACCTGCAAGATGTCCCCTCCCCACCCAGGAGGGGGTAGGGGGAGCTGTTACAGGAGAAGGAGGTCCATGCGCCCTAAGAAGTAGGGGTTGATGTTGGAGACAGACAGATTCAAATGAAGCACTTGGAGTTTGTGACCTAAGGATCCTGCTGGGCCATCATCTCTGACCCCAGGGCCAGGATATTCAGCCAAATTCCTCAGGAGTAGGTGCTCTCTGGGGGTGTCCTGGGCCGAAGGATCAGGGCTGGCTCTTCTCATCTGACTGAGCAAAGAGGGTGCTGAGACTCCCTGCAGAGAGGAAGGGGCTGTGCCCCACCTGCCTGCTCTCCTCTCAAAGACTTGAGGACTCTGGGAGGTGGGCGTGCCCCCTCTGCACTCAGGCAGGGCCCGGCCTGGAGGTCTGAGTTCCTAGCGCCATCGCTTATAAGCTTTGTGAACATGAGCCAATCACTGGACCCTCTGAGCCCTGATTTCCCCACCTCCCACATGGACAGAAGAATACCTTTCTGATTTCCTGTGAACCAGCGTAGTAATCCCAACCTAAGAACACAGTTAGAAAATGGACCAGAAAGCAATGAGGACATTTAAACAATCCTTTATAAATATGATTGAGAATAACTCCTTACTCAACTAGAGGCAAGGAGGGTGAGTTTCTGGGGCAAAGGGTATCTTGCATTCCACAGGCCCTCTAAGGATAATGGCAAACAAATGTGGCAGGTAGGAGGCCCAGTCTCCCCCTCCCTCCCTGCCTCCTTCTCAGGGAGTCCTCCAGGAAGGTCGTGGGATCGTGAACTCAGGGAGCCACGAGGGGACTGCCTGGGAAATGCAGAGTGAGCAGACAGAGGAGCTGGCCCTGCCCCCGCCATGCCTCCCGCCACCACCTCATCAATCTATCACCCTCTTAGCAGCTGACACCTCTGGCAGCACCTCCAGGCAGCCTGGGCATTAGAATTGCAAGAAGCCCAGTTGCACCGGGGAATACAGATGGCGGAATCTCAGATTCAAATCTGTCTAAGTATTATGAACAGCCAGACCTGGGCAAGGCGTTTCTCCTGCCCTTCTGCCAAAGGGGAGTGGTGGGGGTTTGTTAGAAGTACAAATTGTTTCTTAATGCAGAGGACAAAGCCGGGTGCTGGCACCTCCTTAGACATTCCTCCCACTCCCAGGAAAGCCACTGCTGCATGTCAATTTTAATTTTTGAAATTTAAACTGAGGGCTTTGTGTCTAAGCTCCATCTCATCAGAGGAAGGGGAAGAATAAGTCAAAAAGAATTAGGGCCCCGCTGGGGATTGCAGATCCATAGCAATTAGACTTCATTTGGGTCTCAGACATTTGGTTTTAATCGCATTTCTGGATGATACAATCGACAAGGCATCAGAAATTGATACGTACGCAACTGTAGATGGGCCTGACTCTGCCCTCCCCAGTTCCGGGGCTCAGCTGGGCTTGGGCTCCACAATCAGCGGGGGTGGGGTCAGATGAGAAATTGGGTTCAGTTTCAATCTGGAACTGGGGAGTGGTAGTTTGTGAATATATATATACATATATATATATATACATATATATATATATATATATTTGTTTTCCGCCTTGCTGTCTTTGAGCAGTTTATCCCTGAACTCAAATGAATGACAAACATTATTCAAATAAAATAAGAGCATAAAGAGGAATAGCGGCAACAACAGACTTGAAGCAGGGGGTATAATTGTCTTTTAAATGGGAATCACAGCTTTCATATCCTCCAGGAACTAAAGCCGAGCCCAATGTGATTTGGGGACAGACATACAGCCATGAACATTGTCACCAACATTGACCTATAAATACATGTGTGTGTACATGTGTAACATAGATTAGTGTTGACAATCACAACATTATATCCACATGGTGCGTGTGTATGTGTGTACATATGCCTCCAACTTTACACTGGTGCATACACTCTGAGATTGCCTCTGTATACACATATTTCTCTTCAAACAACTGGTCAGAATGAACTCAGTATATTAGGTTAACTGGCTATTTTGTAGATAATTTACTATTTATTGGAATTCAGTGATCTAAAAACAAAAAAATTAAAACAAAAAAATCAAGCCCAACTGCTGGCTCAGTGGATTGAGCATCATCCCATGGACTGGGAGGTCCCGGTTCAATTCCCTATCAGGGCACATGCCCGGATGGCAGGTTTGATCCCCAGTTGGGGGCGGGGGTGCAAGAGGCAGTTGATCAATGTTTCTTTCTGACATAGGTGTTTCTGTCTGTCTCTCCCTTCCTCTCTCTAAAAAAATCAATAAAAACACATTTAAAAAATATATATCTTATTTTTTTAATCCTCACCCGAGGACATTTTTCCATTTTTTGTGCAGATAGAGTGGGAGGGAGAGAGAGGAAGAGAGAGAGAGAGAGAGAAACATCGACGTGAAAGGGACACATCAAGTGGCTGCCACCTGTACAACCAACCAGGGCCGGGGACAAACTGCAACCGAGGTACGTGCCCTTAGCGGGAACCGAACCCGGGTCTCTCTGGACCACAGGCCAATGCTCTAACTGCCGAGCCAAACCGGCCAGGGCTAAAAATATATATCTAAAAAAAAAAGAAAAAAGAAAATCAAAATCGTGCTGGGTGTTTCCCTACCTTGTGTGTGGAATGCTGAAGGGAAGTACAGAGACCAAACACGTTTGGGCTCGGAGCAGGTGCCCACAGCCCCGTCCAAGCTGGAAGGGAAGACCTGAGAAAAGGGTGTCCCTCCCCTAGGGATGATATCTGTCTCTTCCCACACAGTTCTGGTGCGTCCAGAGAGCTGGATGATCCCCAGGTTGCCTCAGTTTATCAGCTGCTGGTGGTGTGAGCAAATGGACAGCTGAGTGTGCTTTGTGCCTGGGTGGGTGTGTTTCCACGGAGGATTTCTGTGCTTCCTTTTAGGAACAAACATCTGAGATAACTTGTTGGCAAGTGCCTCATTCTTGCCTCCATTTTGCCTCCTCTTCCTCTTCCTTCTCCAGAAACTCCTTTGATGTCCTCCCACAAGGCTAGGAACTTGGCGATTCAGCCACTCCTCTCCCGTCTCTAATTCTCCCCCTCCCCCACCTCCCACCCTTCCTCTCCAGGTCAAGGCTGTAGCCCGGGGGAGAAATACCACCCCCCTCAAAGGGCGAGAGTTGCTCTCCCACCTCTCCCATCTTTTCTCCCACCTCAGGGGGCAGGGACAAGGCAGTGGCTGAAGCGCAGGCATAGATTGGGCTATTCGGGGCCCAGTTAAGTTCTTTATATCAAAGTGGACATCTGGAGGTCTGGCCTTGGGGCCACCCTGACAAAAACATCGGAGCCGGTAGTCTAGAAACATGATTTAATGCATCGCAGTGGGTCTGAGTCTCGGGAGTTGGTGGAGAGGCGAATTTCCCTTTGCTGGGATTCTGAGGCGGGTGGGGTTTTGACTGATGGACAGGGAAATTTGCACAAGTATTTCGAGTCCCAAAGGACGCCCCAGGGAGCTCATGCGCACTTTGGCCTACCTCGCTGGCCAGGTTTGGAAGGCCCCGGTCTGAGGGCACTCAGAGGAGGGGGACTGAGAGGGTGGCTGCTCCGCCCAGCCTGTCCAGTCCAATCAGGTTTGCTAACTCCGCGCTGCTGCCGCGGCCGCTGCTGCTGTCCACAGCTTCTGGGGTTCAGGTTCACGCTCGTCTCACCAGGCTGGCGTCGCCCTCTCCCTCCCCGGCTTGGGGACAGGGACCTGAGCACTGCCCAGAGCGTAGTGAGTCGTAGACACACTGAGGACGGGAGCCAGGCAGGGAGGACAGCGGGAATGTGTCTTTTCCAAGATGTCAAGAAGTGTCATGCAGCGAGAGTGGTCCTTGCCAGGGAACAGCACGCCCCCATGAGCACAGGGCGACCTGAAGCCACCTCACCTCGCTCCCTGCGCCCCTAGTCCGGGTATAGAAGAAAGCCAGAGAACGTGCTGTATTTGTTATTATTGCCTCCGTGCGCCTTCCCGCCGTCCAGCTTCACGTAGACCTCGTCTCCAGAATCTAGGTGCAGCACCACGCTGTTACTGGCGTAGTCGTAGTTCTGGTCGGCGTCCTGCGCGATGGCGCTGGCCCGGACCTGGGGGCGAGCCACAGGAGCTGGTGGGTCGGGGCATCTGTCTAGGCCCTTACCCGACCCCACCTGGCGCGCCCCCCGCAGGCCTTCTGCCAGAGGCTCCGGGGTCCATGCTCCCACCCAGGCTCCACCTTCTCTCTCCAACTTAGCAAACTCTTCTCCGCAGCCGGCAAGTCCGGGAAGGAAGAGAGATGGGACTTCAGGAACACTGACCCAGCGGGGAAGGGTGGGAACCAGGGGCCAGGGTCGAGAGGAAAGGAGACTGTAGGGCAAAGGGGCCAGCGGGGCGCACAGCGGAGCTAAGGAAGAAAGAGGTTTCCAGGGGCCCAACGAGCTGCAGGCAAGGTATGAAACTAATCAGGGAGCACTGTTTGGGTACCAGGGACTCTGGACTCTCCCGACACAACCTCCCACACTACATGTGGATCAAGGAGACCAGGGTGCTTTGGGAAGCGGGATCCTGTAGCGCACTCCCTCCCTGGGCTCGCTCGGGCGCTCTCGCAAGCGGGGAGGGGAGGGGGGTGTTGGTTCCCAAACAGTTCGGGGCACAGGGCAGGGATGAGGGTCAGCAGGGGCTTGGCAGGGATAGGGGGTCACTGACCTGCCCGTTCTTGCAGAGGTCCGCCCACATGCTGGTGCCGTCGCCGCCGCGCATTAGGATGTGGTAGGTGAAGAAGTAGATGCCGCGCACCTGGCAGCTGAACTTGCCGGTGGTGGGGTCGTAGTGATTGCCGAGATTGGTGACCACGTCGTCGAACTTGAGCACCTCGTAGCCTTCGTGGGGGCTCTTGAGACCCACGTAGAAGGCGATCTTAGGACCGCTGAAGGCGGCACTGAGCGCGCCGGTCACTTCGCCCTCAGAGTCGCCGCCGCCCCGAGTTTCGCCACCCACCACCGTGTCACCTCCTCCCGTTCCCGCCGTAAGCTGCAACCCTGGCAGCCCAGGTCGCCCCGAGTCGCCCTTCTCCCCCGGGGGACCCCTGGGTCCAGGCGGGCCAGGCTCTCCAGGGGGCCCCCGTGGCCCCGGCTTGCCGGGTCGTCCCGGGTCGCCTTTGGGTCCCTGGATGAAAGGGGGTGGTGGGTTGGCGCTCAGGTCTTGCATGACTTCCAGGGCGGCAGTGCTGGGTCCAGGCAGCGGCGCCTTGGCCCCCGCGGGGCCCCCGCTGGGCGCGGCGCTGTAAGGGTCGCAGATCATGCGGCAGGTGCCCATCATCTCATAGTGCGCGGCTCCGGGGGTTGCCGCCTGCAGCAGCAGCGGCACCGCGATGAGCAGTCCCAGTGCCATGGCCAGGAGCACGCCGACGGCCGCCAGGCAGGCGCGCCGCCGCCGCTGCCACTGCTGGGAAGCGATCGCCACCAGCTCCTCCTTGCCGCCCGGGGAGGTAATGGTGGGGCGACGCGGGCGGCCCCGCTCCCCGAGCTCGGGGGCCGACTCCGCGGGTCCCGGCCGCACCCCGGACGTGGTGACCCCCTGCTCCGGGCGCTCAACTACTTCAGCGAGAGGAGCCCCGGACCAGGCGCTGGTGCTCACCGCGCGAGGGCTGCTCCGGAGAGTCTCGGAGCCCAGCGCGCATGGCGGGGCGCACAGGATGAGCCCGGCGCCCTACGGGTCCGGCCGGCGGCCAGGGAGCATGGGTGAGGATGCGGCGTCCCGTGCGGGCTCGGCGACCCTGCCTCTTGCTCGGCTCGGCGGGGCTCGGCGGGGCTCGGCTCACAGTGAGGGCGCCCGTGCTCTGCGGCGCGCTCTGCTCTGCTCTCTGGCTGCTCGCTGGCTCCCGCGGTGGGGGGGACCCAGCTACCCTGACGTAAGGAGTCCGAGGCTGAGCGGCGGAGGAGGCGAGGCAGCGCGCACTGCCATCACTCCGGGGACGGCGCCCTCATGTCATCAGCTTTCAGTCCTCCTCCTTTCGGGCGGCGTCCCTGGCAGAGATGGCAAAGGCGCCGTTCTTCCTGGAGGCGCCTGGGAGCCACAAGTGGGCGCAGTGGGCGCAGCGGGCGCAGCGGGCGCATCCGGTAGCCCAGCGCTTCAGACACACCCCGCGGAGGCCACTCTCACGCGCCTCCCACCAACCACACACCCACGTTCACCCGCGCTCTCAAGGCCGCACACAAGCACCTCCACATGGCCTCGAAGGAGCCCAGAATCCTGATGCCAGCAAGGTCCTTCAGTGATCACCGAATGCATCCCTCTGCCTGCAAGCAGGACCAGACCTCAGCTCATCAAGGAGAACCTCAGTCCCATGAGGCCCTGCAGCCAAGGACTTTCTGCAAGCCCCCCTGAGCTACTTCAAGAAGTCTTTCACTCACCTCGCCCGAGGACTCCAAGCTGTTATAGAGGCTCCAGAAGACCACCCACCAACTCTTTTAATGACTCTTCAAAAGATCACAACCCAACTATAAGAGACTATTAGCTTCAGCCCCTTTTTCCACCTAGAAAATGCCTGGCCCGTGTCTTCCGTATGAAGTTCATTTAGAGATACAAATGCTGGACACCCAGCACTTAGAGGTAACCTTAGTGCACTCTGCCCCCACTCCTAGCTGGCCGCTACCAGTGCAATCCTTGGACAGGTACCTGTGGACATCCCAAGCTCCCTCCTACTGAGGTGAGTTTAGTTAGTTTAAAAAATACTCCAGCCCTGGCCCTGTAGCTCAGTTGATTAGAGCGTCCTCCAAACAGGCCAAAGTCGGGGATTCCATCCCTGGTGAGGGTATGTACAAGAATCAACCAATGAATGCATAAATGCATTGGACAACAATCTCTCTCTCTCTCTCTCTCTCTCTCTCTCGCGCTCTCGCTCTCGCTCTCTCGCTCTCTCCCCTTCTCATCAATAGTAAAAAAAAAAAAAAAAAAAACTTTAAAAAATACACTAAAGTCTCAATTAAGCTGTGACACTGGGTTTAGAGAAGAATTATCCATCTCCAGTGCAGAATGTGAGGATTAAGGAAAGATGTGAATGTTCCTGTGCATTGGGAGCACCTCTAGTTCAGAAATCAAAAGCTGTCTTCTGGTTCTGCTCTTACCCTGAGCAGCTGTGTGACTTTGGGCAGGTCTTCTGCTCCAGCCCTCCCCGGTAGAGAATGTATCTGGCTGAGCCTGGGAGAAGAGTCCACCCACAGGCTGGTATCAGTGTCTGCCAGAGCATCAGCATCTCTGGAACAACAGTGCGCCCTCCTGAGGCTGTTGCTTTGAAGAAAACATTTATCAGGTATCATGTTCTCATGGGTTACTTAAAAATCCATTTGGTTTCTTTCTGGTTACTCTGAGCCCTTTCCCCACCCTACCTCACATTGCTCCAGTCTCTTGCTTCATCAATGTATTTCCCAGGGATCAACAGATCTGGCATCTCGTAGGCCCTCAGTACATATTTGTAGAAAAGATAAACAAACAGAGCTTGAAGCAAACTTGACCCAGGAGAGGAGGAGGAGAAGAAACTCATTTACTGGGCACCTACTATGATGCTCAGGCACTTTGCATGTGTTCCTTCATTTACTCCCCCCTATGATTTAGCAAGTATTCTCCCATTATACAGATGAGAAAACAAAGACTTTAAAAACATAAGGTGTTTGCCAGTATCCTCCACCCCTATGACAGACAGATTCCTCCTCACACCCAGTCCAGAGGCTCTGAGAACCTGGCAGTGAATCAGCATTGACAGCTAGCTCCTGGCCACAATCTTCACCGGCTTTCTGGGTCCTGGTAGCCCTCCCTTTCCTTCCCTAGGGCTGCACCTAGAACTAGTGAGCCACAGTGACTCCAGGAGCCATACTGCCAGGTTCTAATCCCGGCTCTGCAACTTTGTGTCTGTGTGACCTTGGGCAAATTGCTTCATCTCTCTGAGCCTCAGTCTCCATGTGTGTAGAATGGAAATGACAAAAGTACCTACCTCAGAGTTATTTAAAGATTAAATGAGTTAATTAATATAAAGGACTTAGAACAATAGTTGGCTCAGTAAAGGTTAGCTGTTGATATTAACACTGTTACTTTAGACCTCCACCCTCATGCCTTAGACCACTAAGATGAGACATATAGGCAACAAGCAGGGTGGGGAGGTGAATCTATGATTTGTAAAAGAGAGAGAGCCAAAGATAATCCACATGTTCTTTCTCTAAAGCTAAGAAGGAGGACCACACTGTCCTTCCTACATTCCCCTCAGGCTGCCCTGCTCTGGCTTCCTGCCCCTGTCAAGGCTGCCCAGACTGTCCAATCACCAGTCTACCTGGACGAACATCTTCAGGCAGACACTCACTCTGGTTGAATTTCCCAGCCCTGCAGATAGATCATCATCCCAAAATCTGGGTCTTCTTGCCCCTGCAGGATCTGGACAAGGAGGAAGCAAGTAGGGGCAAATGTGTGAGACACAGCTGTTCATCCTTGCTGACCTCAGGCAAAGCAATGATTCCTGGAGGGTCAGCATTCCGAGGAGCGCCTACCGCCCTGCAGTGAGAAGGCCTTCTTCCCAAGGCCAGCCTCCCCCCCTCCCCAGGGGCAGGGACGGCAGCAGCCAGCCTCCCATCCCAGACCACATAAGTCATGAGGTCCTTCCCTGCCCTCGTTCCCTTCCTCCCTCAGTGCAGAGCCAGACAGAGTGGCCTGCTGGAGTGTTTGACCCGCCTCTTCATCCACCTGGCTTCTGCTCTCCCTGAGTGATCGACCTCATCAGAGACTATCTTCTCATTAATATTAATTATGATCTTTATTAGCATATTGTCTCCCACTTTGACTGTAGTTTTACATTCAAGGCCTAGTAATGATTCAAATCTGCCTAAAATTGCCCTTAGTATTCCAGCCTGCATTTCTTCCACCAATATCCAGTAACAACCAGTATCTTCGCCTTCTCCACCCCAAAGCCCTTGTGGTCTGTGGCATACAGTTTGACACTTTATCGCACGCTGTTTTGTTTGGTGCTCTCATCGGCACCCTGGTGTCTTCAACCTGGGATGCCTGTCTCTACTCATCTCTCTAGACTCATCCCTAACTGTCCTTCAAATCCCAGCTAAGTGTTACCTTCTGGTCCGAAGTCTTCTTGAACCCTCCCCAAGAAGATGACCATTCCTGAAGATAAAGAGCACCTTGAATGGCCCTGGCTGGGTGACTCAGGTGGTTGGAGTGTCATCCCCTACACCAAAAAGTTGCAGGTTCGATTCCCGGTCAGGGCACGCATGAAAGGCAACCAATCAATGTTTCTCTCTCACACTGATGTTTCACTCTCTTTCTGTCTCTCAAAATCAGTAAAAACATATCCTTGGGTGAGGGTTAAAAATCAGCACCTTGAATGCACATCCCCTGCCATCATGTACTATGACTAAATGTTTACTTGTCAGCCGCCCCACCAGGCTTTGAGCTACCATCGGGCAGAAGTCAGGTCATTCGTTAATTCATGCATGTGCTATTCATTTGTCCACCAGATATTTATGATTCTTATTGTATACCAGGCACGGTGCTCCATGCTGAGCAAAACAGGTGTAGTTCTTCTCTTGTCCTGCAACTTCTTTGACCCCCTCCTTGTCTTTCTGCTTGCGTCCCTGGGGTTTGCATCTGAATGGCTATCTGGCATGGCTACTGATTGGCATGCTTTCTTAGAATTAGACCTGTGCCCCCAACTAGGCTGTAAGCTCTTTAGAGACATCATCTTGAATCCATTGGCCGGTCTCTTGACTCCATCCCCAAAGAGAAGGGCAGCATGACACAAAAGGTCACCTCATACAAGGCCTTGGAGCCCATGGTAAAAGATGTGGCTTTTATCCGGAATGAAACTGAAAGACTGTAGAGCAGTTTTAAGCAGGGAGTGACATGATGTACATTTTGCAAAGATTACCCTGGGTGCTGTGGTGTACAGTATGGGGGAGGGAATAGAAATGAGGAAACCGGTTTGAAGCTACTGCATAACCCAGACTAGAAGTAATGGTAGCTTGGTGTGGGATAGCAAAAGAGAAGTGGGTGAATTCTAGATGTATTTTGAACATGGAATCCGGGGGTCTTGCTGATGAATTTGAGACGAAAGTTAAGCAAGGAGCAGGAGAAGAAGAAATCAAGGTTAACTCCTTAGCTGTGGCTTAAGCAACCGGGTGAATGAACGTGAGAAAGGGGATATTTGGGGAAGAACAATGTATTGTGATAGATGGGAGGTGGGAGGTTAAAGGATTTGTGAGCGCAGTTGGTAACTGTTAAACTTGAGATACCAGTAAAATATCTGATGAAACCATCACATGGGCAGTGGACATGAGTCTAGGACTCAGAGGTGAGGTCAAAAATGGAGATACACACCAGAGAGTCCTCAGGATGCAGATGATATTTGTGGCCT